CTCACTCACTCCCAGCCCTGTCCCTCCCATCCTCCTTTTCTTTGTGTGGGAATCTGGGGCCCCTGGGCGGTGTCAGTGTCTCCAAGACCCCAGGAGCCCCCAAGACCTCGTTATCCAGGACACCCCCACCTGGCTCCCAGGAGTCTCCGTTGGGTCACAGGAGTGTTCAGGATGTGTGCTACTGGGTTTGGGTGGGCTGGAGGGGTGTCTTCCCTTCCCCAAGCAAGAAGAGACCTCCCCCAGGAGACCCCTGATTCCGCCCCCAGCAGTGGGGCCCCTGCCGCCTGCCCTGTCCTTGCACCAGGGGAGACCCTCAGGGGGAGGGTGCTGGGTGACTGGGCGGCTTCTGCTGGTCTCACCCCACTGGCCTCCTGTTTGTCGCCCTCAGCCTGCGGGGTCACCTCGAACTCAAGCCGCCAGAGCAGGATCGTGGGTGGTGTGAGAGCACCCAAGGGGGCGTGGCCCTGGCAGGTCAGCCTGCACGTCCAGAACGTCCACGTGTGTGGAGGCTCCATCATCACCCCTGAGTGGATTGTGACGGCCGCCCACTGCGTGGAAAAGTATGCCAGGGTGGTGTGGGCTGGGTGGGGGCTCCAGGCTGGCCTCCTGCCGCCCTGTGACCTTGAGCAGGGCCTCCACCCTTGCAGCTCGGGGTCCTTGTATTTAAATGGGGAAAGTATTGCGCCTGCTTCCTAGAGTTGTGGGACAGCAGGTGCGCTCCTGCTGGGCAGTGCACGGCTGTGTCGTCCTTCAGCACGCATGCACTGTGTCCCCTGCACTAGGGGTGAAGGTGCAGGTGGGACTTTCTCCACTAGGTTGCCATGACCCGCTTTCCTTCCAGCCACTGTCCTGCCCTTGAGCGAAGCCCCCACCCCTGAGGTCTCCTCTCTCCGAAATGCTAGTCCCAGGAGACGGCACACTCAGATGGGCGCAGGGGCCTCAGGCTGCCCTGCTGGAAGGTCCCTGGGGTGAAGTGCTCTGGCCCACAGCACAGCTCATGCAGAGGGTTAGGCAAGGGTGAGACTACCTGTGTGGTCTTAGCGTTAGCATTTGTGGAAGCTACCCCCCTCCCCTTTTTCTTAAACACATAATGATTTTGGTCACATGCTGCTTTGGAGGCCTCACTTGGAGGCTGTATTTTTCTGCCTTAAAGAGAGGCCGAACTGGGTTTGACTCTTGGCCCAGTCCTCTCTGGCTTCAAGGCCTTAGGTGAGTCACTCAACGTCCCTGATCCGTGGCATCTGCCCCATAAGGTGGGTGTGCCCTTCTCCTCTCGGGCTGCTGTGAAGGTCGAGGACGAAAGGGCCATTACCCAAGGGTGCTCCCTTCTCTCTCCGTCTTCACACCCCCAGGTGCACTGGGCCCTCTAGGAGCTGGGATTCTATTAAGAGGGAAACACCTGGAAAAGGGAAATGGTTTGATTGATACAGGAGTTCAAGTCTGTTCATCAGTACCCATTTATTAAACACCTACCCTGTGCCGGGAAATGCTTTGACATATAAAGGAAAATAAGGGCCAGTCGTGCTAGAGATGGCCTTGAAAGCCCAGGGAGGGATGTCGGCCCCATTATGAGTGCTGCAGATTCCTCAAAGGTGACGAAAGAGCCAGAAAGAGAGACAAGGTTGGGGGCTGAGGCAGGGACTCTGGGTGGGGGGAGTGTCGGGGAGCAGGGGAGGCCGAGCGCCCTCTCCACCGTCTCCCTGTGTGGTTTTTGGTGAGTGATCCTGCCTCTGGGTGTCTTGCCTCCAGCTGCTGATGTTGGAAGTTCATCTGCTGAGGGCTCTGTGTTTGTGACTCTGAGATACTGAATCTTCTCTTCCAGACCTCTTAACAACCCGCGGCACTGGACAGCATTTGTGGGGATTTTGAGCCAGTCTCTCATGTTCTACGGAAGTGGACACCGAGTAGAAAAAGTGATTTCTCATCCAAGTTACGACTCCCAGACCAAGAACAATGACATTGCACTGATGAAACTGCAGGCGCCTCTGACTTTTAGCGGTATGCGGGGCTCGGGCCTGGCAAGCTCGGCCGATCGTTAAGAAGGTGTCGGCTGGAAATGACACTCGTGCTGTGCTAAATGGGAGAGAAGCAGTGAGGGTGATGTGCAGCGGGTGGCCCATGGGAGAGGCTGGAGGAGGCTGAGAGCACCTGCCGCATTCTGGGGGAGGTGGCAGCCGCCACGTCTATTCTGTACTGTGCTGAGTGACAGTGACTCCAGCCAGACGCGGAAAAGGCTAGCGCAGGTCTTTCCCACTGCAGTACTCTTGGCATCGGGGGTGGCTCTGCTGTGGGGCTGTCTTGTACCTTGTAGGATGTTTAGCAGCGTCCCCAGCCCCCACCCACTGGAGGCCAGGGGCTCCCAAGTTGTGGCAACCAATGTCGTCTGTTGACATTGCCAGACATCGCTCTTGAGGCAAAGTCACTTCCAGTTGAGAACGACTGGCCTAAAATGTGTAAAGATCCCTGATTTTTAAAGATACATTCTTAAAGCAAGATGCTTAATTTAGAACAAACATGCTTTCTCTTAGCTTCTTATTCAGTCCTACTCTGGTCCATCCAAGGGTCTGGAATGTTCTAGACCCATGTGGATGCAGAAACAGCAAAACCTCACCCCTCCCTATAACAAGTCTGTATTCTGCACGGGCCTCTGGGGTGAAAGCGGAGCCCATCGACGTTTTGGCTATTGTCTCCTGTGTGTCTTTTCCATCTTGGTGACCTGGAGACATGTACTTTTAGGAGCAGAGCTAGCAAATAATTCCACTTATAGGCAGAACTAGAAAATAATTTCACTTATAAGTAGCATAACTTCTTGCCTGCCAAAAGGAGGAGTCTGGCAGGGGCAGAAAGTGAGGGTGCGGGGCTTGTTGGGATGCAGGGTCCTCTGGGCAGGGTGGTCAGGGTGCCAGGCCCAGCATCCCGCGTGTGGGAAGTCCAGGTGGAGACAGGGTGAGGCCTTGGGTGAGACCAGCCTGGCTCACTGTGTTTTCTCTTCTTGAAACAGACGCAGTAAAACCAGTGTGTCTGCCCAACCCAGGCATGAATCTGGATCCGGAGCAGCCCTGCTGGATTTCTGGGTGGGGGGCCACTGAGGAGAAAGGTGAGGCTCCCCGCCATGCAGGTCTGCAGGGCCCACAGATGGAGCATTCGGTTCGGAAGTGGGAGGTCCAGGTTTTTATTCCAGATCTACTATTCAATGATTGGATGACTTTGGGTGATTCCCCCACTCCTTATGCCTCAGTTTCTCCATCTGCTAAATGGCAGAAATCCTGCCCAGCCTACCTAGTACACAGTGTTCTTATTACGACCAAATGGAGCAGCATGCAGAACGGCTTTTGAAGTATCTGGGTCACACGAGGTTAGAGGTGCAGGGTCTCCCATGTTGCACCCATTGTGAGTTAAGAGCTCCCTGGAAATCCCACTGAAGCCTCCATGGCTGAGTGACCGTGGGCTTGGTGAGGATGGGCTTCCTGGACCTGTGGTGGCCACATCTAAGCCTCGTCCTCTGCCCTGATAACCGCAGAGAGGGGCCCGCTCAGTGCTCTTCAGTTGCGATCTGCGTTTCTCTCTGACAGCCTTTCAAATGAAGGGAGCCCAGCAGCTGCTTTATTTTTATGGATGGCTGGAAGTGCTTAGCAGCAGGCACAAAGGTTCATTTTATAGGTTGTTTATATCCTTGTCAAAAGCTTCCAGACCAGACAGACAACAAAACCTTCCAAACAAGGGGAAAAGTACAAAGGTTGGGTGATTTGGGGGGAGTGTCAGGGGAGGTAGTGGGGGCATCCTGGCACCTCATCAGCAGAAACTTACTGCAGTGGAGCCCAGGCTGGGCAAGGCCTCATGGAACCTAAGATGAAGGAATATCAACAAATATTTGTGTGCACCTGCACCTAGCATGGGCTGGGTGCTACTCAGGTGCCAAGAATGCAGAAGTGAACAGAGTAAGACAGATATCTCTGCTCTCAAGGGCTTCAAGTCCCTTGTGGATGTGGGGAGGGGCAGGTATGGTCAGACAGACGGGAGACAAACAACTGAGTGAGGTACTTCCAAATGTCTGAGGGTGAGGATTGCATGGACCTGGCTACTTTAAAGGGGTGGTCAAGGAAGGCTTCTCAGAAGAGGTGGCATTTGAGCTGAGACTCAAATGGCAGGAATGTGTACAGAAGGAAAAGGCTAGTGCATGTATCTTAAGGCGTGGTGATCAAGGGGCCAAGGAGGTGGGCTGGGGCCAGATTGCATAGCTTATGGATTATGGTGAAGTCATCAACTTCTCATCTGCTTGAGGTAGGGAGGTTGTGAGCAGGGGAGTGCCATCATCTGGCAGCTGTGCAGGGAGTCACAGGAAGGGTGAGGATGAATGGACGAGAGGTTGACGGTGAAGAGGCCATTGCTGTGGTTTCCTGAGGCAGGAAGGCAGGTGCGGGCGTGGACATGGAGACATGACGGTGCATTTGGGGTAGAGCCACCAGACTTGCTGATGGATTGCGTGTCTGTGGGACAGAGTGAGAAGTCAGGGACCATGGCTTTCCACTCTGTGACTGAAGCCCCAGTGTGGCGGGTGGTGCCCTTTTCCAAGCCAGGGAATGTGGGTTTGTGAGAATTTGGGGTGCGAGAGTGTGCGATGGGTGGTTCTGGTTTGGCACGTTAAGCCCACGGTGCCCAGGAGATACCCACAGGGGGAGCAGCAAAGCAAGAGTAGGAGATGCAGAGGCAGCAGGCGCAGGCCATGTCTTGAGACGTTCTAATGTGCAGCGGAGCCGAGAAGCAGGTGGTCTAGGGAGGGTCGTGTCGTGTGTGCTCCAGAAGGGTTTGTGGCAAAGGGGAAACAGGACCCCGTGTGTCCTGGGTAGGGTTCAGTGAGAAGCAGGAAAGTAGTTGAGTAGAACCAAGCCATCAGGTGAATGAGAGGATTGCAGGGCACTGATGGAGCCCTGTGGCTTCCGAGCTGGGAAGTTCTTTCCCTGCAGCTAAACTCCAGAGCTGCGTTCAACACAGGCACTGCCAGTGTTAAGGAGAATCCAGGTTCCCCAGGAGAGGGCTTAGTGCTAGGACAGGCTGACAGGGGGCAGGGCTGGAGAGAGCGGTGTGGCCACCTGCATAGTGTGTATGGAAGTCTCAGGGAGGGAAGCGCACGCTTCCTGAGAGAGCTGCTGGCAACACTGGGAGCTCAGCAAGTCCCCCTGTCCTTAGGGAAGACCTCAGATGTGCTGAATGCTGCCATGGTGCCTCTCATTGACCCGCAGAGATGCAACAGCAGATACATCTACAACAACCTGATCACGCCAGCCATGATCTGTGCCGGCTTCCTGAAGGGGACTGTCGATTCCTGCCAGGTCATTCAGCATTTTTATTCTACTTTGCGTCTTGCCAGATCCTACTGAACCCCCCTGAGAGACAGGGCATTCTTGGGGTTAGCAGAGCCTCCTCAGGGACATGGAGCCAGCTTGGGGCAGCCATGGGAAGCGATGGCCACGAACAGGGCAAACGCTTCGGTGACAGAAGCAGGTACAACCAACAAAGACTGCACGCCACGCGCCCTCTGAAAAACGGAGTTAGCAAAGGTGTCAGTGGAACGGAAACAAGTATTTAGACCATTTTAAATTATGAACAGCAATTTATTTAGTAACTATTAGCGTGTACAGGTTAAAATTCACAGCCGGGGTTGTCTCTTTGGGGGTTATATCTCTCTTACCGTCACCCCTCGTTGGTGGGGATTCAAAGCCCACACAGTCACTCGTAACTCACACTGCGACCCATGCTCCCACCTCCTCTAGGCCTGGTCAGTGGTCTCCAGTGGCTTGTGACTTGATTTTCTGCTCTCTGTACCTTGCTGTGTCCCCCAGGGTGACAGTGGAGGCCCTCTGGTCACTTTGAAGAACAGTGTCTGGTGGCTGATCGGGGATACCAGCTGGGGATCTGGCTGTGCCAAGGCTTACAGACCAGGAGTGTACGGGAACGTGACGGTATTCACGGACTGGATTTACCAACAAATGAGGGTAACCATCCCATCCTCCTTCTGACTCTGTTCTCCAGTTCCTTGAGCCAAAGCCAGACATCTGTTAGGCATGGTTCTGCTGCCAGAAGCTGACTGCTGACCACTGGTTGGCATGAACCAAATCCTGCTTCCTCTAGCCACAGCCCCGCCTCACCCTGTGCCTACCCATTGCCCATGGCCTCTCACTGGCTTCACTTGCATATTTGTCCTGGTGCTTGGATGAAAAGCGCTGGGCTCGGCTTGTGTGAAATGCCTTCGTGCTCTGCTGACCACACTTACTGCTGGCTCGGCTGACTCAGTTATTCCACCCAGACCACCTCACATCAAACTTTTTTTTTTTTTTTTTTTTTGAGACGGAGTCTCACTCT